TCCACCAGCTGCTCCTTGGAAACCCTATGGGGCAGTTCTAGTCTGTCCTATAGGGTTGCTATGAGTTGGAATTGACTCAATGGCAACGGGTTAAAAGGCTGCAGGATTTCAGTATATATCTCTGAACTTCTCATCAAATTTAGAGTTTATTTTATGCCCTAAGACTACACCTTTTATAAAACCTTTGTTACTTTTTATCTCTGCTGTGGTGGTCATGTGTACCTCAGCTCTGAAAAATGGCACTAGAGTTTTCAGCACTCTCTGTCCTGTTTTGCCAGACCCAGAACTTGTAGTGTTGCTGCTTTAAGGGCTTTAAAGCAAGATGTGAAAAGAATGACAGGACTGAGAATAGTAAAGATACTTAGAGACCCAATTAAATAGAGACACAAAGAGACAACTAAATTCTTTATCATCAGAAAATAAAGCCTGGAATTACCCACAGACTTGATAAATCAGTCTTGGGTAACATCAAATAGATGGAGTCATTTGGGGGAGGAAGGATGTGCAGCTGGCCTGATGGAAGATAAATGCTTTGAAGAACAAATTGATGAGAGAAGAGTAACCCTTTCATAACTTGATCCCTTTTGAATCTCGTGGGCATCCCACAGCACTACATACACCTTCAGATGTATTTGATAGATACATCTATTATATCTATTATAGAGATGCATTTTGATAGATGTGTTCATAGTACATTCAGAATATGCTTTGTGCAGTTTTAGCAGGTGGTTCACTAAGAGCAAGACATAATCACTGATAGCAGTAGTAGTATGTCACTGTGAACCCAGGAGTTACATTTGGACAGCTGCTTATTGCTGTTCACTTCATATTTAAGAGTAAACTATCCTGGAGAAACCAGGGCTTTAGAGTTAGCACAGAGGTGCCACTTGCTTACGTTATACTAATTGTTCCAGATATTTTGCCTCAGACCAGAAGGGCACAGTGGCTCCTGGGCCATGGGTTACTACTAACATCTTCATGTTCTGAGGCAGCATTGAGAATCCTGAACATTCTGAGCAAGGCCAGGGCTTGTCCTTCTACTTTCTAATCTCCCATTTGACTCCCATAATTAGGAGTTCTTTATGACCCACACGGAACCCCGGTGGCACAGTGGTAAAGAGCTACAGCTGCTAACCAAAAGATCCCAATTCGAATCCACCAGCCACTCCTTGGAAATGCTTTGGGGCAGTTCTGCTCTGTCCTGTAGGGTCACTATGAGTCGGAATTGCCTCGATGGCAATGGGTTTGGTTTTGTTATGACCCACACAGCTGACAACCCTCAGTGATTCTCTGGGAATTTGATCCTTTGAAGATGAGAAGTATCTACCCTCAACACTGACAAATATGTAAGCAGTACAGGTCCTGCTCCTTGAAGAAAATTACTACTCGATGCTGACAGCATTCATATCCAAGATTGATGGCTGACCTGTGTGTGGACAGGTCTCATAGCGCTCATGTCACACTGTTAGTTTACTACTGTGTACAGATAAAAAGGTAGATGCCTCTAGTGAATCTAGCTACCAAGCAGTCTTACTAAAATATTCTGATTCCTTTCCTCCCAGAGAAAAAGAAACCATCTCCCAAACAACCCATTTGAAACACTGATATATCTCAGTTTTGATCATGGACTATTATTAAACGAAAATTATAGTTATCTAAAGAGATGTTTTTCACACTGCTGCTCATCACCTTTCATTCCTGTTAACTCTCCATGATCACATTTGCAAGCATCTACCTTGTCTGCTGTTTGTCCACTCTTCATGATCTGCTCCAACTAACGAATTCCAGCATGTCTCCTTACCAGTTAATGTCCAGTCGATGACACATGCTGATTTAATAATGTCATAATTTTGTTGGGATTTATCATCTCTTAATGATAAAAAAATTATCACGAATAACCAGTCTCAGAGGATATGTTCTCACTGGCACATTTCCAGAGCCCTGCCAGCCATCCCCAGAGGGCATCAAGATCACCTTCAATAAAAAGTCTTTAGGGGGCTCTGTAGCTAGGCATTCGTTCATTTGGAAATGTGTACACTTTCAAATCTGTGGCCGTTCTGCTGATTGTTCTATTCTAATACTTCCATGTGAATATATCTAAAAGGCTGATGTATGATCACATTTCTTTGTGTCCTATGCATGTGAAATTTCCCTTGACCATCATTTTGGGATGACAGATGTTCCTATCTCTTGTTCTTTGTGGTTCTTTCTCTATTACTTAGTGAGCTAACTTTGCTTACATACTTTCTTTGATAGCTATGTTATTACAATATAGATTTAATCATAGCCATGTCAGATACCGCTCCAGGTATTTAAATATAACTATATTAGTTCTGTTTTGGGGTCCTTATTATGTGTCAGCCACTGTTATTTACTTTGCCTAGACTATCTCTTTTTAATCTTCCCAACTGTTATCATTCCCATTTTAGAAAGAAATGGAGGTTTAGTGAAGCTAAGTAACTTGTCCAGAGTCACATGGCAGAGTTGGAATTCAGTATCTCCACAGCGCTTGTTTCAGCAGCTGTTTTATATTGTCCCTAAAGTGGCAATCATTTTAAGTATCACTTCTACACATGAGGGCTACTGAGGCTCAATGAGTTGACTTGCTGAAGTTCACATGGCTGATTAGTTATCGAGCTGGGATTCAAATCCTGATTTTATGATTCAAGATTCCAGCACTCTCCGTTTCAGTGCCCCCCAGCACACCCCAGTTACAGTGTACTTGTCAGTGACAGTTATAAACTGCTTCTACCAAACACTGTTTTGTTGAATGTCAAAGCTACCCTCCAAGTTAGACAGAGGTGTTGTGCCCCCTCTTGTTTTAGATGATGAAACTGAAACTTGGGTTAAAAGAATTGCCTTTGTTTATATGACAAGTAAGCAAATCTTCTGAGCCCTGAGCCTTAACCTAGCCTTTTCAGTATATACAATATATGCACAAAAGGTATAAAAGCTATGCCTTGCCATCACAAGTTGTATTTATTTTATCTTGCCCTTTTTTTTTGGCTCATTTTAACTCTGATTTCTCTCACTATATGGCTGTGGCTTGGATTTTCGTATTGTTGCCTGCAGTCCTCCCATTTTCTACACAGTCAGTCTGTATTGCAGGAAGCATCTCTTTAGGGCTGATTGATTGTGGCACAGGCTATTTTTATCTTATCAATCAGTTATGTTATTAGTGTTAATGTGCCACGAAGCTGGATTAGACTGTTTGGCTGGTTTAACTCGTGTTGTTACATAAGAAGCAGGTTGGATGTAACTGCTGATTTGTAGAACTTTTAGTTTGTTCTGGAACCTGAGGCCATGTTGTTGGTGCTCTTTTTTATGCCAACCTGCTTGTGAGTATACTTCTGGATTCTATTTTGTATTTCTTAATTAATGTACTTTTTAAATATTCTGTGTCCTATACAGTAGAATATAAAGTCTACTTTTACTCTTGCTTTTGAAAACTTTTGCTTTCATGTAGTGTGTCATTCTTTGAAGGCTAATAAACTCTTGGGCCCTTTTTTGTGTCCATAGAGTAGATCTGACTGTGAAATGATCTATAACCCAAAACCCATTGCCGTCTGGTTGATTTCGACTCACAGTGACCCTGTGGGGTTTCCAAGGCTGTAAATATCTACGGAAGCAGACTGCCACCTCTTTCTCCCATGGAGCCACTGGTGGTTTCCAACCACCAATCTTTCAGTTAGGAGTCAATCACTTTAACCACTGCACCACCAGTCTCTTTTATTTTGCTGTCTGAATTTGGAAGTCAGGATATGTTAGCTTTTCTGTGATTTTCTAAACAAGCATTTGATGACATTTCCCTCATCCTAATATTTCCTGCAGAGAAGAACTGTGTGATATAACACTTAGTCCCTTGATCGATTAGAACTGGACTTATTAAGTGATCTTTCAGAGATCATAGGTTAGTGGGCTATCAGTTCAGAATATTAATGTGCAGTCATTACAAAATATTAACTGTTTTATAAGCATAAATGCAGTACATTCTGTTTTCCCCATGTTCTCCCGTTAAGCCAAGACCATACATACATTTCAGAACTTTGGGAGCCACTTTGTGATTTCAGAAAAAACAATTTGTCTTGTCAGGCAACAGCTATTCATAATTGTGCTCAGGGCTATTTTATCTGTAAAATAGAATATTTTAGTCAGATAGAAGCACTGCTGCCGTCTACTTTTTTTATTTTTTATATTCTAAACACATAAAAATGTCTCTGTGTTTAGTTACAAGTAACCTTGGAGATATGAGCTATTGCAGTTACTGGAAGGTAATTATTATTGGATTTGGATGGCAACCTTGTAAGCATCTTGCCTCTAAGTGACCTCTCCCCCTCTATTGTATGTCTTTCTGTATATCAAAAGAATTTTCCTAAAGTGACCATTTGTTAGGCTGAACGTTTGGAGGACTAGTATTTTTTTTTTTTTTTTTTGGCACATAAGATATAATCAGTAAACATACTATATTGATGGTCAAGGTGAGTACTAGCATTACAGTATTATGACATTCCCCTGAGGAAAACGTATCTCAAAAAATCCTCAAATGCCCCCCTTTCTGCCTTTTGTCTAGAGTAAAGATCTCACCTGTAACAGTTTTCTAATAGCCATGAAATTTTCCCTTGTCTTATGGTATTTCTACTTGTTTCTTTAAATCTAAGTACTTACAATGTAGTAAGAAAAAACAAAAGTAATAAATAACCCTATAGAGTTAAAAGTACAGGGTCATAGTTATAATGATGTCAGATGAATTTCAAAGTGGCATGACCATAACAGATGCAGTACATTTATATGCAAGGAGTATGTGTCTTTTCTGGCTGAAATTCAAGACAGATCTTGCCGTTGAATCATGAAGTTCCTGAAGCTAAATTGTATACCTCTTGTAGAATGCTTCCCTGTGATTCAGTCAGCATTATTGTGCACAGTAAACGAAATATTTTGAGAAAATCTTTGAATGTCTTTAAGTAATCTTTCTGCTTTTGCGTTTTCCCATCCGGATACAGCTGAAAGTACCCATGGCAGACAAGCCTGGAAACACAGTGAATTTCCGGAAGCTGCTACTGAACCGTTGCCAGAAAGAGTTTGAAAAAGATAAAGCAGATGATGATGTCTTTGAGAAGAAGCAGAAGGAACTTGAGGCTGCCAGTGCTGTAAGTATTTTCATAGAAAGACAGTGCTTGTGCACTTCAAGTGTTACCAAGTAGAAGTCTCATGAAGCCAGCTACAGCAATACAGACTACTTTAAGAGAGGCCTGTAGCCTCTTTTTTATGTAGAGATACTGTATAGATGTTTAGGGGAATGCTTCATTCCCTTTAGGAGAATTAGTGCAGCATGTTAGAGCAACTCAACCCTCTAAGCCAGAGATGAGCTCTAGAAATCTCCTAAAATGGATGCACACTTTTGGATGTAGTTCATAGTTTCTTTTAGATTCTCAAAGGGGTTCCCTGACTACTAGAAAGAGTCAGGACCATGAATCTCTTAGCATCTATTGTGCAATACAGCTTTCATCATCAACATCCTATTTTTCCTCCTTGCACAACAGCCAGAGGAGAGGGCAAGGCTTCATGATGAACTGGAAGAAGCCAAGGACAAAGCCCGGAGGAGATCCATCGGTAACATCAAGTTTATCGGGGAACTCTTTAAACTCAAAATGCTGACTGAGGCCATCATGCATGACTGTGTGGTGAAGCTGCTAAAGAATCATGATGAAGAATCCCTGGAGTGCCTGTGTCGTCTGCTCACTACCATTGGCAAAGACCTGGACTTTGAGAAAGCAAAGGTAAAAATCCAAAATTTCACAGACCTTCAGTAGGGCTCTTGGTCAGTTGAAAAAGAGCTAAGACTGTCAACAAGAGAGTTCCATCTTGCCCCATGAGTCTAGACTGTTTATTTTTCTTCTTTGCCTGTCTCACTGTCAGTGCTTGGCCATAATGCTTCTTACCACATTTCCATTAAAGTCAGAGATGAAGAAGGGTCCTAAATTATATAAAAGCCAGTCTGTGAGTTGTTCAAATTATTTGTCCCTCATCCTTTTTCTTCTGCCATGATCATTTTACAGGTCATTTGTGTGTATATATAGCGAATTGTGGGCAGAAATAAGGGGAGAAAAACTACTGTGTGCCAAGCCTGAGAGTAATGAAGAAATCAGGAAGTCCCAGTAGTTCCTTAAGAAGTTTATGCTGTAGTTAATGAAATAGCTGTCTAACTATAATACAAGAAATTATTAAAACTATTATAATTCAGATATAACATGGTGATGTCCAAGTAAGAGGTGGGAAAATTAGAAATGCTTCAAAGAAACAATGTTAGAAATGTTCCGTAACATCTGAATCAGCTAGTTTTATGTTTGCCTATGACAGAAAACTTCAAATAGCAGTAGCTTATACACGATTGAAATTTATTTCTTGTTCATGTAAACAGAAATTTGGAGGTAAGAAGTCTGAGGCTGGTCTGGTGGCTCAGAGGTCTGAAATAGTTTTGGTGGCTCAGAGATCAAGAATCCAGATCCTCACATATTTTATATGTTTTGTTTCTTTGTTTGTAAATTAAGCCTATTGTGGTCAGAGGGTAAATCTGAGCAATTTTTATTCGTTAAATTAAAGAAAAAACAAGAATCCAGATCCTCAAGCACAACTAGATGGTGCCTGGCTATCACCACCGACTGCTCTGACAGGGATCACAATAGAGGGTCCCAGACAGAGCTGGAGAAAAATGTAGAACAAGTTTTAAACTAACAAAAAAAGACCAGATTTACTGGTCTGACAGAGACTGGAGAAACCTCGAGAGTATTGCCCCCAGACACGCTTTTAACTCAATACTGAAGTCATTCCTGAGATTTACACTTCAGCCAAAGATTAGACAGACCCACAAAACAAACAGTAATACACGTAGCTCGACCATGTATACGAGATTAAATGGTCACACCAGCCGAGGGGCAAGGTTGAGAAGGCAGGAGGGGACAGGAAAGCTGGACAAATGGAAATAGGGAGCTCAAGGTGGAGAAGGGGAGAGTATTGACATGTCGTGGAGTTGGCAACCAATGTCACAAAACAATATGTATATTAATTGTTTAATAAGAAACTAATTTGCTCTGTATACCTTCATCTACAGCACAATTTAAAAAAAAAAAGAATCCAGATCCTTTCAGCTTAAAATTCTACCATCAGTAAAGCTGTCCTTATCTTTCTCAGCAGAGAAAGTGGGAAAAGGGGCAAAGGACACAGCCATTTCTGTCTTAAGGAACTTCCCAGGGAGCTGCCATAGGATATTTCCATTTATGCTCTGTCACATGACCACAGGCAGCTGCCAGGGAGCCTGGAAAATACTGTCTTTATTTTGGATCATCATATGCTCAAAAATTATACCACATTACCTCTTAGCTATAAAATTGTTATTCCTAGGCCCTTTAAAAATTCTACATGGTAAAGATCACAGAAGAAAAAATAGGGACAACTGTAGGGGCCTGAATACATGGCATAAATTCAATACAAACCATAACTAACAATGCACAAACCAGAAGATAAACTAGGTAACTGGGTGCTCCTAAAAAATTAAGTACTTACCCTTTCAAAAGACTTCACCAGAAGAGTAAACAGAGAACCTACAGACTGAGAAGAAATTTTTGGCTCTGACATATGTGACATATCTCTAAAATCTATAGAAAACACCTCAACAACATAAAGACAAATAACCCAATTTAAAAATGGGCAAAGGATAAGAACGAACACTTCACCAAAGAAGACATTCAGGTGGCTAACAGACACATGAGGAAATACGCGTGATCATTAGCCATTACAGAAATGCAAATCAAAACTACAGTGAGGTACCACCTCACCTGACATTACTGGTACTAATCAAAAAAACAAAAAATAACAAATGTTGGAGAGGTTGTGGGGAGATTGGAAGTCTTATGCACTGCTGGTGGGAATGTAAAATGGTACAACCACTATGGAAAATTATATGGCACCTCCTTAAAAAGCTAGAGAGAGAAACACCATACAATCCAGCAATCCCACTCCTAGGACTGTGTCCTAGAGAAATAAGAGCCATCACACGACTTGACATATGCATACCCATGTTCATTGCAGCATTATTCACAATAGGAAAAAGATGGAAACAACCTAGTTGCCCATTAACAGATGAATGGATAACAAATTATTTATGGTACATACACACATTGGAATACTAGGCAAAGATAAAGAATAATGATGAATCTGTGAAACATCTCACAACATGGATGAATCTGGAGGGCATTTTGATGGTCATGAGGGAGGGGAGGGGTGGAGAGGGGAAATCACTAACTAGATAATAGACAAGTGGTAACTTTGGTGAAGGGAAAGACAACACACAATATAGGGAAAGTCAGCATAACTTGACCAAGGCAAAGTCATAGAAGCTTCCTAGACAAATCCAACACCTTAAGGGACTGAGTTACTGGTGGTGAGGGCTGGCACCATGGTCTCAGGGGACATCTAGGTCAGTTGGCATAACATAGTTCATAAAGAAAATGTTCTACATCCTACTTTGGTGAGTAGTATCTGGGTTCTTAAAAGCTTGCAAGTGACCATCTAAGATAACATCTATGGTCCCAGCACGTTCGGAACAAAGGAGAATGGAGAAAACCGAAGAGACTAGGAAAAGGACTAATGGACCGCATGAACCACAGCCTGAACCACCCTGAGCCCAGAAGAACTAGATGGTGCCCAGCTCCCCCGAGACTACGGCCCCTGGACACCCTGCTAACTCAGAACGGAAACCACTCCTGAAGTCCACCTTTCAGCCAAAGATTAGACAGGCCTCTAAAGCAAACACTAACACACAAGGAATGTGCTTCTTAGTTCAATCAAGTATACAAGACCAAATGGGCAATACCTGCCCAAAAGCAAAGGCAAGAAGGCAAGAAGGGACAGGAAAACTGGATGAATGGACGCTGAGAACCCAGAGTGTAAAGGGAAAGGGGGAGAATTGCAACTAATGTCACAAAAAAACTTTTGTATAAAATTTTTGAATTAAAAAAAATTCTACAGGGAACAATTATGTTTGAATTCCTCAGCCAGAAATACTAATGTTTTTATCTCTTATAGCCTCGAATGGACCAGTACTTTAATCAGATGGAGAAAATTGTGAAAGAAAGAAAAACATCATCTAGGATTCGATTCATGCTTCAGGATGTGATAGACCTAAGGCTGGTAAGTAGAAAAAGGAAAATAAACCTACTGTCTCAGTCTCTTTCAAGGAATTGGGTTGAGGAGCGGGGGTTCTAGTATTTACGTCTGTAAAAACTTAAGCTTTTGCTTCAGGAGTCTCAGAACTCAAATTGGCAAACTTCCATGGGAGAGCGGTGTGAAAGGGTAAAAGGCATATATATATCCCTGCCTGTTACGTGCTTATTCTGCTTAGTCTGATTATCAAACCACGTTGCAATTTTAAAATCATCCATTCTGAATTCAAACTTTGGTCAATTAAATTTAGTCATTGTAAGCTAACCCTAAGTAATCAGAAAGCCTCATCTTCACAATGAATACGTTTAATTTCCCTGAGCCTAATGTTTTCAGTCTCTAAAATGGAATTGTTGCCTACCTTGAGATTTGTTGTAATGATTCAGTGAGATAATTATGTGACGTGTCCAGCACTTAGGAGATGTTGGTATCCCATTTTCTTCCCTATTGTCTGTCCTATAGAACCTCTGCTACTTTTTTCTTCCTCATTTCTCATACCAGGTTCAGTTTTTACCACTACCATTCTGTTTCTGTTTTCTTAGTTTTAACTGTTATAGAGAGTATACTGTAGCCTACCCTAGACTGGAAAACGTGAATACAAGACTCACCTTTGCTCTCTCCTACACTAAGGCCAGATGACGTTGAGGATGGCTCAGGATCCTTCTTATTACCATAGCCACAGCCAGTTGATCACAGCTTGCATGCCAAATAAACATGTTTGCCATCCTGGCCTCTTTTAAGCTAATGTAAATAAATATAAAAACTTCTCCACCCATGCCGTCAACCACTTGCACTAATATCAGATGTGGAAACTTAAGCTGGGAAAGGAAAGGAGGAATATAATTATAAAGAGACAGCTTGTTGTTTTGTCCTCAGTGTCCTCAGCTTGATTTTTGTGATGTGGCACTTGGTTTAGGATGCCAGAACTGTGACACAGAAAGAAGAAAAATGCTAGTTATCCTCGATTTAGAACTGCCATGAGTGTTGATATGAACTGGGTAGGCAAAGCAATGAAGTAAGGCAAGGCCCAGGATAATAAATAATAATAATGCACACTTGGGCCGGTCTTTTATTTGTTCTTTATATCCATTGTCTATTGGAATGTTCAGTATATAGTAGTTTGGTTTGATTGAGAAGAATTTAATTCTTTAGCTCTAATCTGTAAACTGCACATAGTACCATCTACAAGAGAAATGACAAACTGCCATGGTGCCAGATTTTGAAAGTATTTTATACTTTTCAGCACTGAAAAATAAAGATTTTAAAAAATTATTTTTATTTTTAGTTGTTGCCGTCTGGCTGATGACCTTATTTTCTATTTTTATAGTGTAATTGGGTATCTCGGAGAGCAGATCAAGGCCCTAAAACTATTGAACAGATTCACAAAGAGGCTAAAATAGAAGAACAAGAAGAGCAAAGGAAGGTCCAGCAGCTGATGACCAAAGAGAAGAGAAGACCAGGTGAGGGGTGGTGTCCACTAGGCTTTAGAGAACTTGGGAGTTTGGAGGACAGATATGTCAAAATTCACTATTTAAGTGTGAAATGATATCACAAAGAATAACCCAAAGAAAAGAGTAGTAATTCATAAGTGAAGCTGTTTCACCCAGAGACTAGTTATCAAGTAAACATAGAGAGTAGAGGAACTAAACATGATTTCTTTAGCTACTTCAAAGTCAGTAATCAGCAAGACTTTATTGAGTATCTTCTGTATACTCAGTATTGATGAGGAATATAAAAAACTGGAAGATATAGATTCTTCCCTCTAAAAGCTTACAGTTTATCTGAGAAGGCAAAACTAATACAGGTAATATTGGTCAAGCAAATGGAAAATATTATCAGTTATGAATATATTCTCCATTAAGATTGTTAAATTCAGAGAAAAGAGAAAGCTGGAAGAAATCTTTATTTGAAGAAGGGGTACTTGAACTGGGTCTTGAAGGGTAGTTGGTATTTGGAAGAGGGGGACAAATTTTTGTCATGAAACTGAAATAAACATATGTTGTGAAAGGAATAAACAAGCCTGATTGGAACAAATGTTTAAGTGTTCAGAAGGAGTGGGGCCAGATTAAGAACTTTTGACTTGAGTTGATAGACATTAAAGAGCCATTCTGAGTTTTTGAGCAAAGGAGTAATGTCATGTTTTGTTTTTAGGTGCCGTTGAGTCAATTCCAACTGATAGCGACCCCATGTGGCAGAGTACAACTGCCCCGTGGGGTTTTTTAGGCTGTAATCTTTACGGGAGCAGATCTCCAGGTGTTTCTTCCTTAGAGCTGCTGGGTGGCTGTGAACAGCCAGCTTTTCGGTTAGCAGCCAAGTGTTTAATCATTGCCCCACCAGGGCTCCTTAATGTCTTGCTGAGGTATATAAATAAAGTAAGTCTGATTGCTTTTCACATTATGAATTAAAAGGGTACACTCAACAATGTTGCTGTTGTTAGAATCTTAGGTGAGGGTTGACAGTGATAAGAATAGAAAGGAAGAAACAGACACAAAGACTGTGAGAGATGAAATAAAAGGCATTTTGCACCTGAGAAAATAGTCCATTGCAAAAGTTAGGGGCATTAAAACAGGAAATCTTTCTTCAGAAGGGAAATAATAGTTTTTCCTTTGAGCCTGTTTATTTTGACATGACCACAGGGCATCCAAATGGGAATACTCATTAGTCCACTGGGCAGTTAAGTGAGCCAAGCAGTGACTTGGTCATAGAGTATAATGGTTGAGAGTATAGACTCTGGAGCCAAACTGTTTGGGTTTGAATTTCAGCTCTTCTTCTTCCTAAGTGTATGACCTTACATAAGTCACTTAGTCTGTAGAATGAAGGATCTGTGTGAGGATGAAATGAGGAAATATATGTCAAGCATTTAACATAGCACTTGGCACATAGTAAATGCTCAATAATCATTAGCTATTATTTATTACCCATCACCCATCTGTCAGTTTGTCATACTGTGATGGCTTATGTATTGCTGTCATGCTGTCATAGAAACTGTGCCACTGGTATTTCAAATACCAGCAGGGTCACCCATGGTAGACAGCTTTCAGCAGAGCTTCCAGACTAAGACAGACTAAGAAGAAAGGCCTGGCAATCTACATCGGAAAATTAGCCAATGAAAACCTTATGGAGTAAAACAGAACATTGTCCAACTTGCTTGCTTTGGACACGTCATCAAGAAGGATCGATCACTGGAGGAGGACATCATGTTTGGGGAAGTAGAGGGCTAGCAAGGGCGAGGGAGATGTTGGTGAGATGAGTTGGCACAATAGCCACAGTGATGGACCCAAACATGCCAGCAGTCACGAGGATGATGTAGGACCAGGTAGCATTTCATTCTGTTATACATAAGGTTGCCATAAGTTGGAGGCAACTCAATAGCATCTATGTCTCTTGCTATTATTTATCACAGACACAGTAGAACTTACAGTGAAGTTGCTATGAGAGTTGAATCCTCCAGCAAAGAAAGTACTTTTAAGTTTCATGGGACGCCACATTTAATTCACCTTTTTCACCCTAGTACCTACCACAGCGCCTTTCGGGTAATGACTTTTATTGTAGAACTAGATTGAGAGTGAAGAGAAGATCAAAGCCTAATCCATGGAGGATGTCCACAGATAACTAAAGGAAGAAAAAACTCTCAAAGAAGTGACAGATAAAGAGCAAGTGGAGAGGAAAGACAACTAGGATATAAGTGTCATAGGAACAAGGAAGAAGCAAGTCTGTTCATGATCAGTAATATTGGATAGCACAGAGAAAATCAAGAAGTATGTGAGGATCAGAAAAGCTTTTGAATAGACTGTTTGGTGATCTTTCATTCATTTATTCAGCAAATATTTATTGAGAGCCTATCACTTAACGAGAGACCAACCCCTTTTCTCATTCAGCTTATATTGTACTGCGGGCAAAAGACAATAAACAAATATTTAAGTGAAATATATAATTTGTCAAATAGAGGTGTTCTGTAGAGAAAAATAAAGCAGGGAGAGGGGGTAGGGAGTGCAAGGCTTGGTGGTTAGGGGTTGCAATTTTAAGTAGGGGAATTAGGGAACCTCCTAAAGTTGTTATCTTTGTACAGAGACTTGAAGCAGGTGAGGGAGCAAGCCATGTCGACATCTGGGGAAAGATGGTTTTAGACAAAGGGAATAGTAAATACAAAGACCCTGAAGCAGCACTTTCAAGGAACAACAAGGAGGCCTGTGTCACTAGATCTAAGAGCATGAGTGGGAAGAGTAGTAGAAGATGGGGTTTGAAAGGCAATAGGGGCCCATATTATTTAGAGCTTAGTAGGGCTTATGTAAGTAATCTCTTTTTCTCTGAATGAGATGAAAAGAGATCAGAAGTGTTTTGAGCAGAGAAGTGACATGATCTGACTTATACTTTAGTAGTATCACATTGAAGGAACCCTAGTGGCACAACCGTTAAGTGCTCAGCTGCTAACTGAAAGATTGGCAGTTCCAACCCACCCAGCAACTCCATGGGAGAAAAGACCTGGTGATTTGCTCTCATAAAGATTACAGCCTAGGAAGTCCTATGGAGCATTTCTACACTGTCATGTAGGGTTATGAGTCAGAATCAACTTGACAGCACACAACAACACTACCACATTGATCGCTTTGTTAAGAGTAGACGAGGGTGGAAGCAGGGAAACCAATGAGGAGGTTTTTACAGTAATCCAGGATTAAGATGTTAGTGGCTTAAACCAAGCTAGTAGTGTTGGTGGTGATTAGAAGGGACCAGATTCTGAATATATTGTAAAGGTTGAACTGACAATATTTGCTGACAAACTGGGTGTGAAGTGTGAGAAAAAGAGCACTCAAGTTTTCAGCCTGAGTACCTGAAAGTTTGGAGAAGCATATTTGGGAGAAGGAGTAAAGCATGCTTGTGTTATTTGACACCATTAAGTGAAATAAACTTCGGAATCAATAATTTCCATCTGACTTCTCCCAAAATGTTCTAATCATTAACTCTTTACAAAGACTAGATTTGGCCCTTCCTTATCCAGCTCAAAATCTCTGTTCATTTGTGTCAGTTGTTTGTTTTAGGTCAATAATGTTTCATGGGAGGTCCAAGCAGATGCTTGGTAGTCTCAAGCTGTGGATGTTAAAGAGACTATAGCATATAGCAGTGCTATAACAGCTCCTTTGATCTTGTTTCCTCGGTTTTGATTGAAACAGCTGAGTTGAAAACGTTGTTCATGCTTTCCAAACTGACTTGAAGCAGATGAGAGACTGTAGCTCACTCTGTTCTCTCTGCAGGCATCCAGAGAGTGGATGAAAGTGGCTGGAACACTGTGCAAGGGGCCAAGAACAGTCGGGTACTGGACCCCTCAAAATTCCTGAAAATCACTAAGGTGAGTGTGACATTTGAAAAATCATTTACAAAAATAAATAAATAAAAATAATTTACAGCAATCCCAAAGCATGAGTCTCAAAATTATTTCCGGCTCATATAAAATACCATATTGTAGATTTTATGGGGTGGTTGTTTTTTAATGCAGGTACTTTTTACAAGTCAGTATCGATTAGTATATTTTACAGACTTTTCTTGGGATTAGTTCCTTTTAATTTTTATGAGAGTTTACTAAAGAGAAAGTAACTGTATTAATTCTTAGAGTTATATGATGCTTAACGTGAGAGAGATGATAACAAAGATACTTCAGACGTCTTAGTCAATTGCAAGCTTTTATCCTTAGCTCTGGGGAAGAAGCAGTTACCTATTTAAATCTACCCGTGAAAGGCATTAATGGATTTGCCATATCTACAGCCTAGAGGAAATAACACCTACTAGAAATCATCCTGTGATAAATATTTAATATATTCTACTTTCCTCTCTTTTGAGAATCCATGGGCAGTAAGAGGAAAGAATTTTCTCCTGGCAGATGTTTTTAGCAGTAGAAGTTAATGACTATGAGTAGGGTGAATAACTTCAGAGAATGTAAAAAGGCTGAATTAAATTTTGTAAAGTGGAAACTTCTACAGCCCATTGGGTTTTACAAATCATTTGCAAGTCTAGTTTGATCCTTACTTTTAACACATTTTCCATAGTTCTGAAAATTGGCAGCCTGCCAGTAGAATAAGAGCATTTAAAGCTAATGTGAAAACATCAAATGAAAGAAGATAATGGACAAAAAGAAAACGAGTTTAAGAATATTGAAGGAAGGTAGACTATGTCATTTGCATCTTCATGGTTTTGTCAGAGCATTTCTTCCAGATAGAACATTCCACCACTGCATCTGTCTTGATGACTAGCTAGGGTCCTGCTCTCTTCCAGGGTCCTGATACACATTCTTCTAGTTGTTTATATCTCAGAGCAGGACTTCCGTTGGCTGAGTATGACTCAATTCCCACCCATCTTCATTTCCAGCAAGAGACAATGTTAACCAAAACCTTATGTTTAAAGAACTCCTCCAACATCAGCCCCAGCATCTTTGAAAATAATATCAATATTTATTAGTAATATTTGTGTTTTTAAATATTATATTATAGTTCTGTGCATGGACACTCTAAAAAAAATTGTGTTGGTATTAAACCTCCAACAGTACCTTAATATTTTCAAAAGTATGTAAATTGTTTATTAATAAACTTTGTGTATTCAGGTAATTATTGGTACTCTACATAAGTAACTTAAAAAAACTTGAAAACCATTAAAAAAATTCATTGTTAAATGGTAGAGATTCATGTGAAAGCATGTTACAGAGCAAGTCAGCTGTGTTTGATGATGATGTACATTACAATGCAATTCTTTTGTACCAAAGTTGTGATTAGAGGGTTAAATCTGAGAGCGAGCAGGAAACTTAACTCCCTGTACTTTCATGGCTAATATTTCATTTCCTTATATAGTGTCCTTCCTTATCCTTTGTGGTACATTTTACTTTAAAGTCTGTTTTGTCAGAGATTAATATTGCCACTCCTGATCTTTTTTGAGTGGTTTGCTTGATATATTTTTTTCCATCCTTTGAGTTTTAGTTTGTGTCTTTAAAGTGTGTCTCTTGCAGGCAGCATGTAGACAGATCGTGTTTTTAATCCAATCTGCCACTCTCTGTCTCTTTATTGGTGCATTTAGTCCATTTACATTCAGCGTAATTATTAATAGGGACGAGTTTAGTGCTGTCATTTTGATGTCTTTTTTTGTGTGTTGTTGACAGTTTCTTTGTGCCACTTAATTTTCTGTGCTGAGTTGTTTTTCTTTGTGTATTTTCTTGTCATCCTTTTCGTTGTTGTTGACTTTGTATTTGCTGAGTCTTTATATTTTTCTTGTTTTTTATTTTGATGTGTAGGATTGTTAGTTTCCTTTGTGGTTACCTTAATATTTACCCCTATTTTTCTAAGTTTAAACCACTCTTTTTATTTCTTTGTATCACCTTGACTTCCTCTCCATCAGAAAGATCTATGACTACATTTTTTAGTCCCTCTTTTTTGTTTTAATGTTGTCATCTTTTACATATTGATGTCTCCTTTTCCCTATTTTCAGTGTTTTCGCTTTGATTTATTTTTGTGACTTGCCTATCTGGGTTGATATCTGGTTGCTCTGTCCTGTGTTCTAGTCTTGGGTTGTTATCTGATGTTACTGATTTTCTAACTGGAGGTCTCCCTTTAGTATTTTTGTAATTTTTGTTTGGGTTTTGCAAATTCCCTGAACTTCTGTTTATCTGGAAATGCCCTAATTTCACCATCATATTTGAGAGACAGTTTTGCTGGATTGATATAATTCTTGGCTGGCAATTTTTTTTCCTTCAAGGCTTTATATATGTCATCCCATTGCCTTCTTGCCTGCATGGTTTCTGCTGAGTAGTCTGAGCATAGTCTTATTAATTCTCCTTTGTAGATGACTTTTGATTTATCCCTAGCCGCTCTTAAAATTCTCTCTTTATCTTTGGTTTTGGCAAGTTTGATTATAATATGTCTTGGTGACTTTCTTTTGGGATCTACTTTATGTGGGGTTCAGTGAGCATCTTGGATAGATATCTTGTCATCTTTCAGGATATCAGAGAAGTTTTCTGCCAACAAATCTTCCAGCAATTCTCTGTGTATTTTCTGTTATCCTCTCCTGTTCTGGTATTCCAGTCACTCGTGAGTTATTCCTCTTGATAGAATCCCACATAATTCTTAGGGTTTCTTCATTTTTTTAATTCCTTTTATCTGATTTTTCCTCAGATGAGTTGGTGTCAAGTGCTTTATCTTCAGTCTTACTAATTCTGACTTCTATTGTCATGGCTAATATTTCATTTCCTTCTTTCCTTTTCTTCTTCTATCTTTGTGTGTGTGTTAAAATATATATACAGCATGAAATTTGCCATTTTAACCTTTTCAAAGTGTACAATTCTTTGGCATTTAGTATATTCACAATGTTGTGCAACCACCACCACTATCTATTTCCAAACCTTCTTCATCATCCCAAATAGAAACTCTGTAACAGAAATTCCTTATTCCTCTTTTTGAATATTTATCCCATCCCTAGCCCCAGTCCGTATTAGGCTTTACTGAAATATAAAATGTTTGTGTCTGTTGCCCTATTTCTGTCTGCTTAATTTCTGACAATCACATGAAGAAGTTCATGAGCTAATTTTGTAGTATTTATATATTCCTTTTCTTTCGTTTTTAAATCACTGGGCATTATTGTAGAAGAAGACTTATTACAAACTGCTTACATTTAGCACCCTGACACACCATCTTAAATAGGAGGACCTGTGTTTTGTGGAACCTGGATTCCAAGGAAGTACTTCAGGGCCCACAGGGATCCCACTTTAATAAGAACAGCTTCAATTTTATATGTTTTTTAAATTGACATTCCAAGCGAATTTTTATTGCTAAAATCAGTTCTATTGCATTGAAAAATAAGCTAAGATGTCCTTCTAGAATATTTCCTATAATTGACTTGTGGTCACTTACATTACAGCCCACAATTGATGAGAAAATTCAGCTTGTACCTAAAGCACAGCTGGGCAGCTGGGGGAAAGGCAGCAGTGGTGGGGCAAAGGCAAGTGAGACTGGTAAGTATGGACTTACCTTCTTGGTAATCTGAATATGTCTGTTAGCATTCACCTTACAAGGCAGTTTCTGCAGTCATTTAATAATAATTTTGGGAAAGGGTTTAACAGTCATGCCCAAATGTTTATTGGTGTCTTTAACCCTCTCTGACTAATGTAAATTGAAAAATCGTGTGAGGATTTCCTCCTCAGTAAGGATCCTTAGATATTTTAAATATATATTTTTTCATTTGGTTCCGTTAGGCTATTTAAGACTTTAATCTCTTAGGTTTCTCTTTTTTTTTGTCAATATAATTAGAGAAATTACTGGGACCCCAAACTAAAAGGGAAATTAATTATGCTGAGAAAAATAATATTAATACACAGAAGCATTGAATTTTAGGAAGTTGTAAAGGAATAAAGAATTGGATTGAAATATTTTTCAAAATCTTTATCAAAGGTTGGATTTTCAGAGAAATTTGACCTTAGAACTGAAAATGTTTTGATCATCCCAAACGCGTCTTAGTAACCGAAGAAACAATGGAAAGAAGAAAAACTTTAATGTTAACTTCCTTCCCATATCTCCCTTCTACTAAGTAACTTTGTCCTTTTTTTTTTTCATTAAGTTTTTAAAAATTTTGTTATTCACTTAAATGGGCACACACAGTTTTACATAAATGGGATCATAGCACTGGTTAGGTTTTTCAAAAGTGCAATATTTTGTTTTTGTCCCTACTTCTCCCCACTCCCCCTAATTTACCACTCCTACCCCCATGCCCTACCCAGGGTAATTGACTTGTTTTGAAAGAAGCAAACGTTTGTAATGAGTGAAGATTTCTAAACTCTCTTTTACATACATATTCCCTCTAACACTTTGCTTCTCAGAGTATGGTCTGTGTACCACAGATTGGCACCACCTGGGAGCTTGTTAGAAATGCGAGTCTCAGGCCCCACCCCAAGGAGGCAGGTGAATCAGAATCTGCATTTTAGCCATGTGATTTGTATTTTTTTCTAAATCTTCAACACCTGTAGATGTCTTACGGTCAAGTGCTTCCAGTTTAAACAGATTCTCTGCTCTGCAACCCCCAGCACCCTCAGGGTCCACATCATCTACCCCTTTGGAGTTTGATTCCCGAAGGACTTTAACCAGGTGAGAGGCCCGCTCTCTATACTTACTCAAGGCTTTCCTGCCTGTCAGTGTGTCTTGTCTGTTTCACTTTCTGTCTCACACACACTGCATACCGACACAGATAATAATGATAATTCCTATGGCTGGAAATCATCTGTAGTCATCTTCCTGGATTTATTTTCTCTCTGCTTAGTAAGGTTGATTTCCTTTTTTTTTTCTCTCTCTCTCTCTTTCCTTTAATCTTCACAGTCTATAATTTCCTAAAATAAGAACATAATGCAGTTGTGAATTTGATATGAGGTGGTAGGAAAGGGCAGTTTACCTGGCAGATTTCTAACAGTTTGGTCCTTAAGAAAGCTAGGCGCACCTTAAGAGCCCTAGAGGAGTGTGTAGGACCCTCCAAGCTAACGCCTCAGGACACTCTAAAATAACCTAACAGCCTCAAGTGTGTGAATTAAAGAACATGTTAGCCCTCCGATAGCTTCTCTGTGACTCTGTTCTTAAAGTTAGATTTGGATTGTCTTTTAGTTTTCACTATTCTCTATATTCTACTGTCTTCCTACTTTATTTTTTTGTAGTATTGATACAGTCAAGTGTTCTGTTGGCTAGTGTGCTGAGAATGAATGAGGACCTGTAGTACAGTGACAAAGAATAACATTTCTGATAGGAGAACTTTCAGAGCTTCAGTTTTTTAAGCTCTCAAACTTTTTTTTTTGTAATCAGTTTGGCTAAGTAGACTTTCTAAGCTATGTTACTTATTCCCTTAGCTTCTGAAACAAAATATACTTAGCACAAGTCAGGTTTTTCATGACTCAGATTGTCGTTGAGCACCAGTTGTGCTGTCGAGGTGTTTCTGACCCCACCATAAATTTCTCCTGATGGCTCTGCTTTTTGAGCTCTTGTGTATGTTCTTTCATAGTGGTTAGACTGTTGTCCTGCCTCTAGCCCCTTTTCTCCTCTCCCTTTTAATTTGCTGCTTCTGATCTTCCATTGGCCAGGGATATCTGGTTTGCCTAGCTGGTTAAAAAAAAAAAAAAAAAATCCGAAAAGAAAAATAAATAAGAAGATGAGAAGAATCTCTCTTACAATGTGTCAAGTGTATGACTTTGGCTGTTGAAAGACTGCTTCTACTATCTATTTCTCAAATACTTTCCATGAATTTGAAGTTTATGAATAAATATTGTATTATTTCTAAAATAGTGATACCATGCTCCTGTGGTATTCTGCTTGCCATTGATTCATTCAACTCATATGTTTATCACTGTCTTCTTCATTCTTAAAAAAAACTATTTAGAAGATTTAAAAACTAAAATCAGGAATTGTCATTGATAATTTTAAAATGTAATTAGTATCCCTTTTACGGTTTAAGAAAATAGTTAAAGCATATGTTAATAAATATTCCCTTTGAAGCACTCTAATTTTTCCTTTTATGTGAATAATTATACTCTGAAATATATTTGGTATCTCAAACATCTTGAGTTATCTATGAAAAGTTATTCTACATACTTTTAGAGATCCTTAGTGTTATTTTTAACGGAATATTGAGAGGAAGGGGTGGTCTTTCTTTTGAAAAGTGTTGTTTTGTCTTTCAAGTCGTGGAAGCATGGGTAGAGAGAAGAATGACAAGCCCCTTCCACCTGCAACAGCTCGTCCGAACACTTTCATGAGGGGCGGCAGCAGTAAAGATCTGTTAGACAATCAGTCTCAAGAAGAACAGCGGAGAGAGATGCTAGAGACCGTGAAACAGCTAACAGGAGGCATGGATGTAGAGAGGAGCATTACTGAGGCAGACCGAAACAAAACAAGGGAGTCAGGTGAGAGACCGTATATGAACAGATAGATGAAGATTTGGGCCTTAAATTTGGAAGGAAAAATACAAAGGAGAGTTTATGCCTTAGTAGATATCAGAGTGAATACGTGATAGCAACACGCATAAACCAAAGAAACCAAACCCGTTGCTGTCAAGTGGATTCCAACTCACAGTGACCCCATGTATTACAGAGTAGAACTGCTTCATATGGTTTTCTTAGTTGTAATCTTTATGGAAGCAGATCCCAGGCTGTTCTTCTGTGGCACTGCTGGGTGGGTTCAAACTGCCAACCTTTAGGTTAGTAGTCAAGAACAAACAGTTTGTGCCACTCAGGGACCTCTGGAATACACATATCAGTTCCTTAAGAGTTAAAGGGCAGCTTCATAGTTTTGTAACTTAGTTCTCATTCCCTAGATCTATAGCTTCCTCAGCAATTTACAAATTTCCATCTTTCTCTACTAAATGGTAGGGTGATGAGGTCCTCTTGCTGTATATTAAGCAATCGGAATTTCTTATAGGTCCCTTTAATAACACCTCACTGTGCATTGGTGTTAGAGCTCATATACTTTGTAAACTAAAACTACACCAAACCTGTTGCCATCAAGTCGATTCTGACTCATAGCGACCCTATAGGTCTGAGTAGAACTGCCTGTGCAGGATTGTGACGGCCTTATGTGCTCTTCATCATCCAAGCAATGGAAAGAAATTAAAATACAGAAAGGAACAACAAACCTCCAATTATAAAAGTTTATCATGTGCCTAAATTCTTTTCATTGTCGTAGTTTATGAAGTTTCTTAGTGCATCTCTATTCCAAAATAGAGGTTCCTATGTTTTGTTTTTAGATGTCTTGCTTTGTCAAACTTGTATCTATTTTAATGCTTTTACTGAGAAAAACAATGTAGCAGCATCATAATCCCACCATCTTAACAGTAATTGTCCTTTTACTTTCTCCTTTTTTTTTAACCTCACTAGTAGCTAAACCAGAAATTCCAGCAACTTCAGCCCCTGACAAGCCTGCATTGTCAGAAGAGGAGATGGAGAGGAAGTCCAAATCTATCATTGATGAATTCCTACACATTAATGATTTTAAGGTAAATGAGATTTTTAAAAGATAAGACAACAACAACACAGAAAGGCCTGTGATAGAGAGACTTGATTCTGGTCTAAATTGGTTTTCGTTGTATACTGAAAAGACTTAGATTGAGTAATCCAAGCCCTACTCAATTTAGTTTGCTTAACTCTGATGCATTTCTGCCAAGTACCTTCTTTTAAATTGCTATTATAGGTCATAAAATCGAGTAGAGGGAAGAGAGAATGGGTACTAATCCATCCTCACTATGGGAAAACTAAACTGACTTTCATATTAATGTACAAAAAACAACACAAATCATTATGAGTGTTCCTGGCATCATATATGTGTGTGTGTGTGCGTGTGTGTGCGTGTGTGTGTGTGTATCCGTATATATATTTGTCATGTTCTTTACAGTCAATTTATCATCATTTTCTGTTAACCCTGAAGTATAGATGATATTACATTTTCCTTATTTCATGAGCAGGAAACAAACACAAAGGGGTAAGCAATGTGCCAGGGTCAGACAGCCTAAAAGACATTTCAAGACATGAGCTTTGAATTTGCCCCTCTTTAACCCTTACCTTCTACTTGATCTTCATTTTAAGATGGTAGTGAATAAGATAGACATGTTGCCTGACCTCATGAGCTGTACAGTCTACGGGCAGAGACAAATCATAAACAGATAAGTCCACAAATAGTTATTTAAATTATAGTTATAATGAATGTTAGGAGATCTGTAAGGGCTTAGGAGAGAGCATATAATGGGAGCTAGCTAGTTCAGTATCTGGGCAGGAAAGACTTACCTATTAAAACATTTCTGTCAGGTATATTAACTACTTTTCTTTGGCATTAGATTATCAAAAATTCTTTTAAGATTACTTATTTTCTTGGCAACTAGTCATTATCTGCTTTCTGCACACCAAAATTACCTTGGTTATCTGTAGCCCAGCCTTCTAAAACCCTTAAGCCTCTGAAATTGTCCCAAATTGAGAAGAAGTAGGAAGAAGTTTTGAGGATAGATGAGGTGGAGAGGAATGCTTTGCAGAAAACTTGGAAATGCAGCCAAAACAAAAAAGCATTAGCTAGAAAAAGCCACAGAATATACTGATGTTCTATAATTTGTTTAGTAAGCTTCCTGGAAAATGAAGAGTATTCTTGTAAACTGGCAGCACAGCTTTTTTCTGTCATGGATGTGGGAAATGGGAAAAAACTGAAAACCTAAGAAAGACAAAAAGCAGAGACAATGTGGAAGAAAGCAGTATGACTTCAGAAATGATTTGAAGGATCTGCAAAGTCAGTAAGCGGCAAACACTTTCAAAGGAGAAGAATATGATGGACTTCAAGATATAGGGAGGAAAAGACCTCAGTAACACTTAAGTGCAACAGGAGGACCTTTTGGAGGATACATTAGCCATAGGCCAGGCCTGCAGTATAGGAGGGACAGAATTAGGGAAGTCGTTATGCAGCGTACAGGGCACCTGCCTGTGGAATGGCAGTAAGAACCACATAATGATGTCTGACAATTACTGAGGGATTACTGTGTGCTTGGTGCTGTTCTACATATTTTACATGTGTTAGTTCATTCAATCCTCAGAACGCCCTCCTGAGGCTGCTATTACTATAATACCCTTCTTTACAAATAAAGAAACTGAGATGCAAAGATGTTAAGTAAACTTCCTCAAGGTCATACTGCTATTAAGTGGCAGATTCAAGATTCAACGCCAGGCTTCTAGCTTCAGAGCACAGGCTATACTTTATCTCATTACCTGAAGGGTATGAATGTGTCACGCTAAAGGCTTACAAGAGCTCATCCAAAGGAAGGATTTCTTTTTCCCCCTTAACATCTTTAATAACTATTGTTGTTAACGATAATACAAATTAATGTTTATTGAACCCTTGTATTGTGCCTGGCAATGTGCCAAATGCTTTTATGTACATTATTTAAATTCTCACAATAACCTTATGAGAGGAAGTCAAGGCTGAGAGCTTAAGTGACACTCCCAAACTCACATAGTAGAAGTGTGTGAGTCTGCCTCTAACACCTGTGTTTTTAGTCTCTGTGCTGTATATTTATTGAGTACGTAAAATGTGCCAGTCACATTTTAGGGGATATTGCCTGGGGATAAGGCACAGCAGTTAAGCACTGGGCTGCTAACTCACAGGTCTGCAGTTTGAACCCACCAGCCACTCCACGGGAGAAAGATGAGATGTGGCAGTCTTCTTCCATAACGATCGTAGCCTTGGAAATCCTATGGGGCAGTTCTCCTCTGTCCTGTAGAGTCACTCTGAGTCGGAATCAGCTTGACAGCAATGGATTTGATTTTTTTTTTTTTTGCCTGGGGGTACTTAGTATATGCGGTGAACAGTATAGTCAAAGTCTTGCTTTTGTGGAGCTTACATTCTAGTGGAAGAGATACAGACAAAGCTGGCCCTAAAGATAGGTAACAAATAAATAGCAACTACAAAAAGAAATATAATGTACAGAGAAGTACAATAAAGTGATTTGATAGTGATTGGGGGGTACAGAGGTATCATTTCAACTGTGTTCAAAAACAAGAAAACCATGAGAAAATCGGTGAAGGGCAAGGTTATGAACTGCCATAACATTAGAAGTTTCATGCTCTGATTAAATTCCGTTTGGAAGACACTTCAAGTTAAATACTCAGGATTGAATACTTGCATTCATTTTCACTCCCTCCTGAAAAAGCATTGTAATGATGGTGATGGGTTTAAAATGAGGTAAAAGCCCACAAGAACAAAGAGTGCAGGGAGTAGACAGTGCATCATTTTGGAAGTTAGAAATTAAAAGGATGAGTAGTAATTTATTTAGCAGAGTAAGAATATGCATGGGGTACAAAAGAGATGAAAAAGAGGATTAGTTGTTTGAAACTGTGTATAAGGAACAGTTTTATAAAATGGCCAGCCTGAATGTTTCAAAAATGCCAGTGTCATGAAAAGACCAAGAAAGTGGACTGTTCTAGATTAAAGGAGTCTGAAAAGACCTGACAGCTGAATGTAATATAAAGGTTCTCGATCAGGGGCGTAGTGACGATAATGAGTGCCCAGGGGCAGTCTCTAAGTTGCCCCCCCCCCCCATTTCAAGATGAATAGATGTTGATAATGGTGACATGTCAGCAGAAATGCCTTCACCCCTCTTGTCCGGCTGCCTCAGTCAGGCAGGCACCTTTCATATTTGTGGCACCTCAGAATGTCATTCCCTGCCTCATCTGGTGTTCCCTTGGACGTATGCCTGAGGGCAAGTGCCCCCGTTGCGCCCCCTCCCCCCTCCATATCTCTGTTCTCAATTGGATCCTACAACAATTTAAAAAAAGCTATATTGGACATTTTGGGGACAGATGTGGAAATTGGAATATGTATTATACATCAGATAATATTTTTATTAACATTATTATCAATGTTAAATTTCTTGGATTTGATAATGATGTTACAGTTATGTAGGCAAATGTTCTTAGAACATTTGAAACCCATCACCATAAAGTATATGTGGATGACGTATGTGTGATAATTGCTGCAATTTACTTTCAAATAGTTAGAAATAAAAATTATGTATATAAAGAAAATGTGGCAAACTAACAATTATTATATGGGTGTACGTTTACTCCTCTTAAACTCTTCTGTAGGTTTGAGATTTTTTAAATAAAAAGTTAAAACCAAAAAAAAACAAATGCGTTGCAATCAAGTCAATTCCAACTCATAGCGACCCTATAGGACAGAGTAGAACTGCCCCGTAGGGTTTCCAGGGAGCAGCTGGTGGATTTGAACTGTTGACCTTTTGTTTAGCAGCCGAGCTCTTAACCACTGCGCCACCAGGGCTCCAAATAAAAACTTGGGGGTGGGGTTAAATATAATAGCAGAGGGGATAAAAGCAGCAGCAGTGAGACACCTTAGATGTGCCTTCCTGCCTCATCAGTCAGGTGACTGCCCTTCCTACACGCACTGTCCGTGTAGAAGAACTACTCCTGTCAGAGGTTAAACCAAAGCATTTTGGATTCAGGGGCACCAGGCATTGCTGAGATAGCTGAGGGTAGGGGTGTACACTACTGTGTTGGGGATGCAATGGAAGTCTACATATTGAGTAGTCCTTTCCCCAACTTGGCACTCAGAACCTAGGCTGCCAGGCTTTTACCCTCCAGGCCAAAGGTACTGACTTAGTTTGATGTGTCATCTCATAGTAAAGACTAGTTAACTAGCTGTACACTACAAGAACTTCCTGAAAGGCTTTTAAGTACTTAACCTAACCATATCCCTTACATGTAACTTCCTATGAAGGAAAACGTTTTTCGTTGAAGATTGTATAAATAGTAACATTCCAAAACAGAATTACTTCAGTTGCCACATTAAGGCCTTTGAATCATGACGTTGAATTTCTGTTTCATAATATTCTGTTTTCAGGTTTTTAAGTGATCATCAGAGAGATTATTATATAGAAAAAATTGTATAGAGCATTGTATAGAAACATCACATAGAAAAGCATATATAGAACATTGTATAGAAAAGATATATTTGATCTTTAATAAAACTGTTGACCTGAACATGTTAGCCTTATAAAGATATGCTGTTCTTTTTTTTAAAATATGATTAATATTGCCCATTTCAGCCTGCATTTTACTAAGCTACATTATGGTTAAGAAAACTAAATATACAGACTGTCTTGTTCATGAAGTCCTGTATTGACTTTGTCATAAATAAAAGGTTTTAAAGTTATTTTAACTCTGGTGATGCTATGCAGTTTTTGGAGTAAGTCTTTATTTGCTGTTTGAACAGGAGGCCATGCAGTGTGTAGAAGAGCTGAATGCCCAGGGCCTGCTGTATGTTTTTGTGAGAGTGGGAGTGGAGTCCACCCTGGAAAGGAGCCAGATCACCAGGGATCACATGGGTCAATTACTGTATCAACTGGTACAGTCAGAAAAACTCAGCAAACAGGAGTTTTTCAAAGGGTTGGTATTATCCTTAAGACTGGTATTCAGTTTCCAGGCTCTTGGATAGGAGTTAATTTTAAAAGTACTTATATTTGTTAAGTATTTAACTTTTACCATAGAGAAAAATTATGTCTACTGTAATATGTTGATAATATGTAATAGTTTGGTTGATATGGCATTTTGTAGATTATGCTAGGGCATGAAGGTTACCTTCTGGTTTTCTGTATCTTACTGTTAGACCTATGGCATGATATGGTAAGTTAGCGGAGGCCCCTTAACCTCAGGGAAATTTGAATGGAATGACAGTCAAAATTCAGTAGTATTTAAGTCATTTTTTTTTTTTTTTTGCAAATCTTTTTTTTTTTTTTTGCTAAGCTAATGTTGTGTTAAGGAGCCCTGGTGGCACAATGGTTTAAGTACTTGGTTGCTAACCAAAAGGTCTGTGGTTAGAACCAGGGCTTCAGGCTTTGAACCAGTTCAGTCGTGGCCTGTGAAGCAAAACCAGAACAGACCTGAATTTTTATAATTTGGGTGATCCAGAACGATAACCAGAATGGGAAAAATTTGCAGGTCCAAGTCCTGGAATGGGAGACTAGGAAGGAGCTTGATGCATGAGATTGGATTATTGGCAAAACTGTGGAAAGCGACACACATTGAAAGTGGTGCAGTCAGTCGACCGTCATCTTTGAGCAGGGCACCACTGTTTCTGACTCTGCTGAAAATCCAACGGGCAAGAGATTTGTTGCTATGCAATGGGTATGCTACCTTTGTTCTCTAAGAGAGATTAGGTTTCTAGCAGGGCTTCAACCTATAATTTTTCCTGTTCCAGTTATTGTTCCAGTTCACCCAAATTTTGTAAACTGGGAGAATTGGAGCCAACATGGCACTACAGACAGAAGCATCGTGCTGTCCCTTTGCAGGAAAGACCTGAAAAACTAAATAAAACAGACACAAGCATCAATCCTAGAACCCTAAGCATCAAATGAAGGGATAAAGAACTTGATCAAGCACCGAATAGAGGAAGAACCTGCCAGAGAACAGAGAACGAGGAGAGCTACAGAATGGAGGTCCCCTGCCAGCTAACGCAGCACGGATTCGCCATGTTGGACCACAGCCACCAAGGATCCTGGACAGGAAGCACAGGAAGGCAACTTCATGGAGTTCCCAAGAGGAGACAGAGTACCCGCTCCACACATCACATCCTCTCCTTTCCCTCCTGCCTGTCTGCACCGTGCGCCAAGTGCCACACCCCTAAGCAGCACTGGCATGGACCCTAAGACCCTGCCCTGCACTGCCCCCCAGCCACGCTGCCAGCCCCAGTTTGTGCTGCAAATGACCCATCCCCAACCCCCTCCGCCACTGGACCAGCCCTGTTACACCACAGTTGAGCGACCAGCCCTGCCTATCTGGACAAAGTGATGAGAAGTATCATGCCCACAGATGAGAAAGCAACAAAGCACACCCAGCCCACCCTCCCAGGCATAACCAAATAAAAAAAAAAAGGATGAAACAAACAAACCTACAATCAATAAACAAAGAAAATAATTCCAGAATATCCAGAAGACAGCAGACAATATCAAAACATACTGAAAAAAGGGACAATATGGCTCCAGTAAGCAACCAAAATAAAACACCAGATGACCTTACGGTAAAAGAAGACGGACTGGAACTACTTGATAGAGAATTCAAAAATCTAATATTCAAGGCTGTCCAACAGGTTAGGAAAGAGATGAAGGAAAACACAGACAAAACTAAGGAAAAAATAGACAAAATCATGGAAAATACAAAATCAGGGAAAACGCTGACAAAGCAATGGAAGAATTCAGGAAAGTGATATAGTAACAAAATGACAAAATAAATAAACAACCAGAAATCATACAAAAACAGCAGTTAGAAATCCAAAAGAAACAATAAGATTTCAGAAATGGACAATGCAATAGAAGGTTTTAGGAGCAAATTGGAAACAATAGAAGACAGGATCAGCAAAATTGAAGACAAATCCTTGGATACCACTTTGAGGAAAAATCAGAAAAAATGAAGAAAACTTGAGAACTATGTGGGATACAATCAAGAGCAAAAATTTGCGCATGAGCGATGTTCAAGAACAGGGAGAAAATGGAAAACACAGATAAGATCATTGAAGATTTGCTGACACAAAACTTCTCTGATATCATGAAAGATGAAAAACTGACCATCCAAAAAGTTCAACGAACCCCATGTAGGATAGACCCCAAAAGAAACTCATCAAGACGTATCATAATCCCACTCACCAAAGACAAAGAATCCTGACAGCAGCTCACATACAAAGGAGAAACAATAAGACTAAGCTCTGATCACTCAGCAGAAACCATGCAGGTAAGAAGGCAATGGGATGACATATATAAAACCTTTAAAGAAAAAAATTGCCAACCAAGAATAATATATCCTGCAAAACGCTCATTCAAATATCATGGCGAAATTAGGACATTTCCAGATAAACAGAAATTAAGGGAATATGTAAAAACCAAACCAAATTTATAAGAATTATTAAAGGGAGTCCTTTTGTTAGAGAGCAAACAACATCAGGAAACAACCTGAATGTAGGACACAGGACAGAAGCAGCCAGATACCAACCTAGGTAATGAACTCTCAAAGATAAAACAAAACTAAAAGATTTACAAAGGGAATCAGACACATCAATCTGTAAATGACAACAACATCAGAACAATAAAGGAGGGAATATACGTGTAGGGATAGAACTTTCAAATGAAGAGGAAGTCAAGGTGATACCAAGTAATAAGATTGGTTCAAACTTAGGAAGATAAGGGTAAATTTCAAAGATAACGAACTATTCATCAAAATAAGAAAAACACAAGGTCTCAGTAAACACAAAATCTACAGAAACGAAGAAAAAAAAAAAATCCAAAAGCAAAAGGAATTCAGCACAGGAGAGTAAGAGGAAGAAAGAAAATGTCAGCACCACAAAAAAAAAAAAAAAGCACTACAAAATGACAGCAATAAACTTACCTGTCAGTAATCACACTGAACATAGAATGGCTTAAATGCACCCATAAAGAGAGAATGACAGATGGATTAAAAACAAACAGGACTCATCAATATACCTGCTGTCTACAAGAGACACACCTTAGAAACAAAGACATAAATATATTAAAAATCAAAAGATGGAAAAAAAAATACAACAAGCAAACAGCAACCAAAAAAGAGCAGGAGTGGCAATACTAATCTCAGATAAAATAGACTTTAAAACAAAATCTACCATAAAAGACAAGGACATTATATAATGATTAAAGGGACATTCCACCATGAGGACGTAACAATAATATCTATGCACCCAATGACAGGGCTCCAAAATACATTAACAGCACCGAAAAGAGGAATTGACAGTTCCACGATAATAGTAGGAGTCTTCAACACACCACTCTCGGTAAAGGACAGAACATCTAAAAAGAAACTCAACAAAGATACAGAAGATCTAATGGCCACGGTCAACCAACTTGACCTCATAGACATATGTGGAACACTCTACCCAACAGCAGCAAGGTATTCTTTTCCAGTGCACATGGAGCATTCTCCAGAATAGACCACATCTTAGGCCACAAAGCAACCCTCAGCAAAATCCAAAACATTGAGATAATACGAAGTGTCTTCTGTGATCACAACACTGTAAATGTAGAAATTAATAACAGGAAGAGCAAGGGAAAAAAATCAAATGAAAATTGAATAACACTTTGCTTAAAAACTGTTGGGTAGTAGAAGAAATCAAAGATAGAATAAAAAAATTTCTAGAACCAAACGAGAATGAAAACACATCGTACCAAAACCCTTTGGGACACAGCAAAAACAGTGCTCAGAGGTCAATTTATAGCAATAGATGCACACAAAAGAAGAAAGGGACAAAATCAAAATGTTAGCTTTACAACTTGAACAAATAGAACAGCAAAAGAAGCCCACAGTCACCAGAAGAAAGGCAATAATAAAGATCTGAGCAGAAATAGAGAATAGAAAAATAACAGAATCAACAAAACCAAAAGTTGGTTCTTTGAAAGGATCAACAAAATCGACAAACCGCTGGCCAAACTGACAAAAGAAAAACAGGAGAGGATGCAAATAACCCAAATAAATGAAATGGAGGACATTACAACAGACCCAACTGAAATAAAATGGATCATAACAGAGTACTTTGAAAAACTATATTCCAACAAATTTGAAAACCTAGAGGAATTGGACATTTTTAGAAACACACTACCTACCTAAAGTAACACAAACTGAGGTAAAAAATCTGAACAAACCCATAACAGAACGATTTAAAGGTAATTAAAAAAATGCCCAACAAAAAAAATTCCTTGCCCAGATGGCTTCACTGGAGAATTCTTCCAAACAATCAGAGAATAGCTCACATCAGTACTATACAAACTTATTTCAGAACATAGAAAAGGAAGGGATACCTCCAGATTCATTCTATGAAGCCAGCATAACGCTGACACCAAAACCAGGCAAAGACATCCCAAAAAAGAAAATTACAGACCA